AACTTTTGAGGGGGTCTTGACTTTATTTGCCAGACACACGGCACTGAACACACATGCAGATGTGAACACAGAACACACATGCAGAGGTGAACACAGAACACACATGCAGAGGTGAACACAAGACAACATTAGCACGACCAGTAATCCTACAAAGTACAAACTGTCATCACTACCCTCCTGACCGTTCTCCTCACTGTCTTCCTCTCTGTCAGACATGGTAGCTGATGATGTAGGCCTACTTCTTTCTCTCTGGTTGAGTCTGCGATTAGCTGCTTGCATCCACAAGTCAGCAGCTGGTTTTGGGTCGAAAGTCTCTCATGTCATCTTAGACAAGTGGATGTAATCAAATAAGTATGTGAACATAACCAATAACCTACCATAGCCAATAACAAATGAATGTAACTTATTTTATTTGTGTTGTTCATTCATATCTTATTTTACCTTAACATTTATTTATTTATACATTTTAAATGTTTTATCTCCAGTTTTAAAGGGTATTTTTGGTTACTGTCCTATAGTATGCATTGGAATGATTTCAAACCTGTTTATCCCAATAATTATAAAGGAGTGCCTTGGAAATATGTGTTTACATAAATTGTGACCAAACTGTTTGAACTTAGACTAAAGTGAACTATCTAAACACTCAGTCCTTTACCTCACTGAGCTGTAGTTATCAGCCTCTCAGTCTGACTGGAGAGGACTCTCCCTCCACATCATTGTAGAAACATCTTCTTCTTATATCCGTTAGAGCAGCTAGCACCAGATTCTAATAACAACAGCGGGCGGTGCGCCCTTCTCTCTCTCCCTCGCTCACTCGCATTTTGGCTGTGAGCTGCGGGCGCCAGATAAGCCAACATCCCCCATTTTCATCACTTACAGCGCCCATTGTACAGGGCAAATGAAAAGTGTAACCGGGGTGAAAAGGGTGTTACATTTACTTAATTATGAATATTGTTACATCAAGGCCGAAAATTAGGATGAGCCCCAACGGTCAAAAATGTTTTTTCCCTCCCAGAGCTGCCAGCGCAGCGCCTCCACAGATCTGGCGCCCTAGGCGAACATCTATAACGCCAGTGCTACGGGCCGACCCTGAGTTCATATGCAACTCGCAAATATCTTTCTCTCTCTCTCCTCTCTCCTCTCTTTTCTCTTCTCCCTTCTCTCTCTCTCAATGTTGGTACGCAAATGCGCCTTTTTTCAAATGACCCGGTGCTCTTTTTTTGGCGGAGGTGCGCATGCGCACCTGCGCACCAGTTATGTGCAGCCCTGTATATAACAAAGTATTGAGATTAACTTTTGTTCTTGACCAAATACTTATTTTCCACCATAATTTGCAAATAAATTCTTTAAAAATCAGACAATGTGAGTTTCTGGATTTTTTATTTTCTTCTCATTCTGTCTCTCATAGTTGAAGTGTACCTAGGATGAAAATTACAGGCCTCTCATCTTTTTAAGTGGGAGAACTTGCACAATTGGTGGCTGACTAACAGAGTTGGGTGTAACGCGGTACAAAGTAATGCGTTACTGTAATAATATTACTTTTGTCGGTAACGGAGTAGTGTAACGCGTTACTTTTATAATTTAGTAATCACACCACAGTTACTAACATTGCCCCGACACGCGTTACTTCGTTACTTTTATAAAATAATCACACTCACTGACAGACTAGAGGGGTTTCCGCCGCAGGTTTATATACATGTAGGCCTATGTAATCTGCGCGACTTGCGAGACCACATCTCCACGTGCAGTGCTGCATAAACATGGCTGAGTCTTCTCATCTGTAAACTCCCTCAACGCGCCGCTCGCTGTCTTTTGTTGATCGCCCTCTCACGGGTGAACAGTTCAATGTCCCGCTTCATTGTAGGAATTCTGTCTCTACCACTTTAGTTTGACCATCTCTGTTACTAAGTTATGGAATACTAAATACATAAGTAATTAGATACCTTACCGTTATGCGCTCATAAAGAATGATAAGAATAATGCGTCTTGAACTGGTTTCATTCATTAGTGTCTTGACGTTTCACAGACTGTTAGTTTGTTGTGGTAGGCTGGTAGCCTATTTTAGAGCATATAAAAAGAAAGACTTGTGTTATGTCTTCCTTAATGCAATAGTAATTGGGGGTGCAAGTGGAGTCTCGCAGAGGCAAAACTGTGGCGCGCACACTGTAGGTGCGCCGCAGTCTGCATGATCTGCCTGTAGGGAGGGGCGGGCCGGCCCTGCGAGTAAAGTAACGAGTAAAGTAACGAGTTACTTTATGTAGATAGTAACGAAGTAGTGTAATATATTACTTTTTTTTAAAGTAATATGTAATATATTACTTTTTTTTAGTAACGACCCCATCTCTGCTGACTAAATACTTTTTTGCCCCACTGTATGACATTTGTTGCAAAAGCACAATTACAATTATGAAAGGCAATGAGTGAAATTAATAAATTAATGAAATATAGATATTGGAATAAGTATTATCACACCACATAACTTGTGAAATGTTGCTTTGATTTGATCATTTTACAGTCATTACATTGGCGTGCATAGTTCACATTTAAAAAAAGAAAAATCATATATATACATATCATCATCTAAGTACTTTAGTAAGTGACAACATAATACGGAAAAGGCTTGATGAGCACGTTAACTTAACCCTGCTTTTGTCGGTCACGACCGGTTGTTTCTGTGAACAGCAGAAATGATGCGGTCGCAAGGAATTGTGGGACAGTATTAATTCCTTTCATTACATTTAGGATGGTCCAATGTATCCTAAAGCAGCGGTTTTCAAAGTGTGAGGCGCGCCTCCCCGGGGGGGCGCCAGAGAGCTTCAGGGGAGGGGCAGCGTGAGAAAAAAATTACGAGAAACAGTGAAATCTAGCTAGTTCACTTCAGCTAACTTTTTGCGAGCAGTAACATGGATAAATGTTTACCTAAAGTGAAAGAGCAGACAGCGTCTGGCAGAAAACGTCACTTGCACACTTTTGGCTGTCTGCGGAGACAGAGTTCCCCCACCTCACCAAAAAGGCTGTAAAAGTGCTCATTCCCTTCACCTCCGCCTACCTCTGTGAGTGCGGGTTTTCCGGATTGACTTTGATCAAAAGCAAGTACCGGCCAAGCAGGGGCGGATCTACCGGGGTGGCATGGGGTGGCAACTACCACCCTAAAAATAGCCTTGCCACCCCAGTTGGCAGCTTTGTTTTGAAATAAAAGTTGTGGCTCATCGGACATTTCTGAGAGAAAATCCCTAATGTCCGAGTGCAAGTGAATGCAGCACAAGACGCGAGCCTTGTAACCCCTCCCCCGGCCCTGGCACGAGTTTGGAAATGTGATTGGCGGAGATTTCATTTGAACGGGACGGCACAAAACGAGAAGCATTCGGACCCAAGTAGACGGAAGGAATGAGATATTTGCGGTCTACAATGACAGAGAAGACACTGTCAAGTTTGGCTGTACTCAGCATTGAATCAAAACGCACTAAAGCTTTAGATCTTAATAAGTTTGTGAGGCGTTTTGCTGAACAAAATGGTAATCGCCGCATTCAGGTGTTATAGGCATACCAACTTGATGCTCTGCTCACGGATGACTCGATGAGCATAATAAACTGTTAAGATGATGACCTTACGTGTGTAAATATATTTATTTCTTTGTGGGGGTCTGCCCCCAAAAACAGTTTTAAGTCCTGAGAAAGTCAAATAAGACGGTGTGTACAACTACACTGCCCAGCCACAAAAAAGTAACCACTTTGATTGAACTAGCCAGTAGGTAAGGGCATTCCACTGGATAATAATACCCCTGCATTATAGCAACAAGAACAACAATAATAATAATAATAGCAATAATAATTGGGAGGGGGGGCGCGGCTGTTCTTAAGTTCTCTGAGGGGAGGCTCACCTTCCCACACTTTGAAAACCCCTGTCCTAAAGGAAGCGACTAAGCTCCTTTCCTATCATTAGAGAATCCAAACAGCTCTTATCATGGCTGACACTAGGCTTGTTTGAGACGAGCGATACCGACGCAGACCTACGCAATTGCGATCGCCGACTTGCTCTGGAGGCTCGCCTACATGAGAATTTGAAATCTCGTGGGACAAAGACGCCCGCAGACTTGAGAGCGAGGCGGCACAGTTTCTCTCCACGGGCTGCGGAAGCGAAATGCTTGATGGGAAACGACTCACTGGTATCTCGAGGGCTCATTGGTGGTTTTTACCAACTCTCCAATTGGCTCGGCAAAAGTTTGTTGTTGTTTTGTGTCAGTTTTACGTCGCCACTTCCATTCACATTTTTCATCATTGTTCCACAATGTTTATCATGAAATTAATATCCATATATTTTATACTATACTTGCACTGCTTACCGTTTTCATACTTTATATATCTTAGCATATTATTCATACTGCTCACAGGCTGCTGTGTATATCTAGTGTATTCATACGCCTCACTGTTTTTTCATCATTCAATTCATTCTATATTTTATTCTGTAGATTGTGTACATTACTTTTCACTTCACTGCTTGTTGCACTCCTAAACTGCATTTCGTTGTCTCAGTACCTGTAATCTGTGCAATAACAATAAAGTTGAATCTAATCTTGAGCAGGAACAAATGTATTTACTTAGTACATATCTGACATTAACGACACAACACGTGTGCATTCTTTATCAATGCAAACCGAGTCAAGCCGACTCCGGAGGTGGCGGTATGCACCTTAAAGTTGTTTGCAATCCGCCAAAAAAATGAGAGAAGAAGAAGAAGAAGAAGCCGACTCCGGAGCTGTCCGACTTCAGGCGAGCTTTTTGAGACCTCCCCCGGCTGCGATCGGCTATTCTCGTCTACTTTCGAGGCGAGCCGCAACGCGTCTCAAACAAGCCTACTGAGTCACTTCCTAGTCTTTTCACATTGTTAGGAACCTTGATGGACAATAAACACCATTCGACCCCAACCACTGTGCCATTTAAAGCAGTTTTTCACTTTTCGCTGTGATGCTCAGTGTTTTTTCTGTTTGTGTGTCTGCGTAGGTGCGATGGATGATGTACTGGATTGTGTTTGCCCTCTACACTGTGGTCGAGGCCATCACTGACCTAACACTTGCATGGTGAGTACCACACAAATACACACATGTTTACCAACTACTAAAAAATAGTTACACAGCAATCTCTTTTTATCATTATCTAAAACTCATTGTCTAAATTGCCCTATCCTACTTTACTATATGTACACTGTACCTTCACTGACCAGTGATCATTAATTAGGTTGGTATATGGAGTTTCAGAGTTAAAGGTCCCCTATTATACTCTTTTTTTTGTAATATATTATAGTTCTCAGATAAATACAAAAGATGTCTCTGAAGTGTTTGGCTGTAATACCAAACAGATAATTGTAGCATATCGTAAGCTCCTCTGTTTCAGCCCTGTTCCAAAAGTGCAGATTCAGTGTCTGTAGCTTTAAATTCTAATAAACTGCCTCTCCCCACGCCCCTCTAAGAGATATTTGGTTAAAAAGAGCTCAATGGTGCTCTAGGAGGAGATTCAGGTGATAAGGTGGGGCGGGGGGGGGGGTTACCTTGGTTGGCTATTGGCTAATGGTTGCAAAACCCAAAAAAAAACGTTGTGACATCACAAAGTCGCCTAAATCTGATCGGCTCATTTTCAGACAGGTTTTAATATAGATGGATCAGTGCAAAAAGAGAGATAATCTTTTTTCCTGAAACTTCACAAATCTCTTAACACAGAGGGTACACATATTTATGTAGGGAAAAAAATGGAAAAGGGAATATTGGATAGTAGGTGACCTTTAAGAAATGTAATTGGAAAGTCCTTGTAGTAATCAGAATGATAGATGAAAGAATGCATGGGTACACATAAAGGACTTAACAAAGTGTAACCTTGGGCTTTACATAACCTACTCTTTAATGCTGCTAGTCTTTGGTGTGAGGCTATTCACTGAATTTCACAAAGCATAGTTTTCAAGATGTAATATTTTAAAAGGCTACAACTCGACTGACTGACTGACATAAAATGAAAAAGGACATTTTCTAGATGCAAAAGAAGCAAATTTGTACACTTATGGAAAATGTAGTGCACTGCTTATTATCTCATTATCCCATTAGTACATTAAGATTCAAACACTGGCAATGAGGCAGAATACCATTAATGGTTAACTGAACCTTAAAGAACACTCAAAGATTTGAAAGGTGCCTTGTGGTGGGATGTGAGGAAGTGGAGAGGTTTTGAATGGACAATCTGAACTGAACTCAACAATACACCTCCCGATCGTCCATATGTGTTGGGGCTGATCCCTAACCTTGATATAGTGCCATGTAAAACATCATTTGAAGGTGAAATAAACTTTTGTGAAAGAGCACCACCACCAATTTGGTAGGCTGAAGCACAGCCCAACTACTGTTTGCTCATTGTTATCCTTTATTTTAGTTGTAAGAACACCACAGTGTGGGAGGATGATAGCCATGACAATGTTGTGTTTGTATGTGTCCAGGTTTCCTCTGTACTACGAGCTGAAGATAGCCTTTGTGATCTGGCTGCTGTCCCCTTACACCAGAGGAGCCAGTCTCATCTACAGGAAGTGTCTGCACCCCCTCCTGTCCTCCAGAGAGAGGGTAAGATGATCCATGTGTTTGTTGCTGAGAATATTACAGTCACACCTCGTTGTGCTTGATTAAGTGGTCTACTAGAAAACCTAATTGATTGTCTTCCTGTAGGAAATCGATGAGTATATCGTGCAGGCCAAAGAGAGGAGTTATGAGACCATGGTCAACTTTGGAAAGCAAGGCCTGAGCATCGCAGCCACCGCCGCCGTGTCTGCAGCCGTCAAGGCAAGTGTCTCTTTATATCACATCATATTTGTTTAAAGGTGCTTTTTATAGCATTTAGGGGTTTATAATTTAGGGCTGAACAATTGATCTGAATTGTATCCAAATCGCAATGGTCTAGTAGTGCAATATCATTCTACATACATTTTTCCCAGCCTACAAACGTTTTTCACAGACGTAATAACAAAACGTAAAAAGTTTTGTACAGATCCATATTTCAATGATTATATGAAAAATATTTCAAACATTTTCATTCCCTTCAATATCATGAATCTTATCACAAGTGCAATATCATTCAAAATAACCGCTATTAGTTAATTATTTTAGATCGTGCACTCTTAATTATTTGTATCATTGATTTTTGATTGAGAAGGCCTTTTTGTATTTACAAAGAAATCCCAGTAATATGGCTGATGCAGTTTGTACCCCTTATCTCAATGTTGTGTTATTTATCAAATGAAGACGTTTCCCATGAATACTGTTCCCTCACCTCAGTCTTGCTTAGCTGAGGTTGTTAAACATGGAAGAAAGTATATGTTTTGGCTTCATTTGCTTAGATACAAGTGTGTTCTCAAACCTGCAGGAAAGCAATCCAGCAGGTTGTTTGCCAAATTCAAACTGCACTTAAACGGCTTATTGAACCACATGTAAAATAACACAGACAGACAGTGTAATTGGTTTGTAAATGAACGCAGGAGAGCTGCATTAATATTTTAAAGATGGTATGTAAAACATTGAGCTCATGCATATGTATCCACTCTGAGTGTGTCTCTGAACCAGCTTGTTGTTCAGAAGCAAGCTACCACTCACTGCAGCCAGAATAAAAGAGGTGTGTGTGAAGTGGTTTCATCAGCACTGTGTGAAACCCTGGGTGTGTCGGATCATGCTAGTGATCTCCTGGTTTAGGCTGCGCTGCACTGAGGTAATCCCAGGCAGTGGGAATCTGCTCTGAAGTCAAGAGCCACATTCAAAGCAGGTGCTGTGTAGGGGAGCTATAGCTAACTGCATGAAACTGGACTTGTTGAGCCAAATCTGAAAGAAGACTATTAAGATGCTTATGAGTAATGATTAGGGATGTAACGATACCAAAAACTCACGGTACGATAATATCGCGATAACAAGTCCACGGTATGGTATTTATCGCGATATTGAATAATAAAGAATTTTTTTATTTTATTTAAAAAATGTTATACTTGGAAAAATGTTCTTTATTAAATAATAAATCTGATTTGTACAGCATTTTTGTTGGATAGCAGTATTTGAAAGTGTCAAAAACAAAGTGACAGTAACAGACTGGATCAAGAAAACCAGTAAAACTCACAGATACCTCATTCACACCAACGCAACTCCGGTTCAAGCTCCGTGCTAGAGCTTTTCAGGTTCAGAACCGTTTCTTCGGTTTAGCTTCGGCTCTTTTCACACCGCCCAGAGTCCGACTGGTGCTGCGTCATTGCGTCATCGTTTGCGTCATGATGTAACCGTTTGCGTGCCTGCTTCATAAAGCCAAACCGTGCGGAAACCCCTCACAGCTGACACCGACAACAACAACAATGGCCGATTGTGCTCCAGCTTCCTCTGTACCGCTTCGGAAGACCAGATTCCCAGTAAGTAGCTGGTCTCTTCAAGTTTCTCCATCGTTGTGTACAAACTGGATAAAACGCCGGCTTTTTGTTGTTGTTCAGGAGTTGATCCCGCTCCTGCCCCCGCCTCGACGTAAGCGTGACGTATGCGGTGCTTTTGCTCTAGCCGGACAATTTTTTGGTGCTTGAAACAAACCGGATTCCGGAGCTAAAAGGCTGCTCCGCTGCGGTGTGAACAGGAAAACCCGGTGCTTTTCAAGCTCCAGCTCCGAATCAGCCCTGAAACGAATGAGGTATAAGTCACTCACTCAGCATCATCAGACAGGTTTTTAGGAATATGAGTCCACATTTCCAGGTAGAAGCTGGGATGTTTGGGCATTTACAATATCCGCTGCTCTGGAAAAAACTATCTCGCTTGGTACTGATGTTGCTGGGACAGCAGTGGTCGCGTTAACCGAATATTTTTTTTAACAATGACGGAAAAATCTGAAAGCAGTCTGTCATTTTGACAGATTAGAACAAACTCGGAACAGCGCCAAAGTTTCCCCGCACCCAGGCTCTGGTGTTATGCCGTGTTATGCATGCCCTCCAAAAAGGAAATTATATAGTTTCCAAACCGTACTTTGCCGTACAGATCATTGAAATGTCAGGGAGTTTTTGCTTTACGCTGTGCAATAATGGATTATGAGGGATATTTTACGATCCTGTCTGTCAAAATGACGGACAGCGAAAAAGTCTAACGCCACCTCAGTGGGACAGAGAGATATGATTTGGCCATGGGTGACAGCAGTGGGTCAAACTGTGCATTGTCTCTCCACCACTTCAAAAACAATACCGTTTTTGCCAAGAAGGTGAGGCTTATTGACAGAGATATAAATATACTGTTGGTACTTGTCAATGTCTCTAGGTATGTACATGTAGCCCTGTAAATACGAGTGTTTAAAAAATAATTCAGTCTCACGACGTTTCTTTATCGTGATACCGTGATATTCGGTATATCGTTACATCCCTAGTAATGATCCTTCGGAAGGACAACAAGTAAAGATCATTACATTACATGTCACTTGTTAGACGCTTTTATCCAAAGCGACTTACATACTCAATACTGTGGACAATCCCCACAGGAGCAATTTGGGGTGAAGGGTCTCAGGGACACAACGACATGCTGACTGCAGTGGGGTTTGAACCTGTGACCCCCTGATCCCAACACCAACGCACTAGTCCACTGCGCCACATGCCTCACTATATGGGTGTGGCTCAAAATCATGTTTTAATTTTGAGATGGATCATGTTGGTCAGCGTATTTGGATGAGTCCTCCTTTACCTCCTTTGATGTTCTTTTGTCTTGCAACAATACCATGTTTTCATACTTAAAATGTAAAAATTAGATGAGCATAAACTTTTCAAAACTTTAACAAAAACAATATTTCCGGTTTGTCAATCAAGATAATTTGTTATGGAAAATTCATTGGAAGGTTAAAAAAACAACAGGGCAAAACTGAATGGGTATGATAATAGTAGAGATATATTTGTAAAAGATAAAACCATGTAATATTTACTAAAATGAAGGGATTGTGATGTTATGAAAATGGGGTTATATGAGGTACTTCTCCACGATAAGTGCTACATTATATGCAATTTAGAGCCAGCCAGATGTAAGTACAGCACAGAAAGCCAAACAACATACTGCTGGGGATGGGGGAAGAAGCAAAACATATTTTAGAAACATAAAAACAAATCTGAATCTGTGTAACCTCACACTATATTAAGAATATTTTCACTGCCTTATCTTAAGTCAGCCCTTTAGGTGGAGAACTGAGGCTGTTATCTATGCAAGCTTCAAACCCAAAATAATGAGGGTAATAAGGGTCATTCCTGGCAGGACACTGAAGGGGCTGGCTTTAGGAGGCAAACAGTGATCAGAAAACGGCATCATGTGCTAAAGTATCCCTGGGTAAAGTACTCTGGGTTTAGTTTTAAACTTCCTTAACAAGAACCAGGTTGCTCAAATCCAGGACTCTGAAACCAGGATATGATGTGTACATGTACGTGGGCCTGTATGTGAACTGCATTCAGCTGAGCTGTTTGGAAGTCTAAGGAAAAACTAGCCCTGGTGAAACTCCACGGGACATTCATTCTCTTTCATTACTGATGTCCTCTGGTTCACAAGCTCTTCAGTCTTACTGCTTTGAAAACTGGACCACTGTTACTCTTCAATTCAATTAGCTTGTGTAGACTTACATTCAGCCACAGTGTGCCCTTATTCTACAGTGTGAGACTTGTTAAAACCCTCCTGTCTCTGCTAACATTAAACATGCCATTAATCACTGCTTCAAAGACAAGCCGCTCTTACCCTCCAACATTCCACTCTCTCTCTCCCTTTATCTCCTATATTCCTTTTATTTCTATTGCCTCTCCTTGTCTTTATGGTTTCTCTCTTCTTCCCCTCCCTCTGGGGTTAATCAGCACAGTTTTAGGTCACAGTGCCGTTTCAAATCCTTTCAAAGTTTATGGTGGTTTAAGCTGGAATGTGACTAACCTTGTACAATAAAAGCAGCTGCATGGTACATGAAGTCCGCCTGTCTGCAGCGCCTGACAGACTGGAGCACACAGAGCACCTTTTACACATTTCAGTGCTGTGGTTTTGGTTTACAAATACATCAGTCGTTTACGGATGGGGTTTTATTGAGTATGAAACTCCTGAGACTATATGCACCACCCTGTATTATGCATGCAGCACACATGCATTTTGATGTGCATGTAGCCTGAGGCTGATTTGAAATGGCATCTGCAAAGCCTCTACAGGTGTTAGTAAGCAGACTGGTTCCTGAACAATTCTTTATTTACTGCTAAAGAATGACATGTAATGACATTATATTACATTCATTGATAGTAGCTGACACTGTAACCCAAATCAAGTGAGCAACAAACAAAGAGTGCATTCAAACATATGGGGAACATGTCATGGTTGTCCCGGCCAAAACCATTTCTTTTCAGGATATTATTCCAATAATGATCAAATATTTCGCCTAAATAGAGCACTGAAACATAGTGGAATCCACTTGACCTTTTGTTAAGAAACAAATATATATATATTTTTTATAGATTTGGTTAAAATAACTCATTTAGATTACGATTCAGAAGGGATTCATCATTTTGCATCATTATTCTCTTTTGTATTGGAAAATATATGAAAATGATCACGGTGTGATTTGTAGAGGATCTGTACCAAACAAATACGTTTAGTTAAGTCTGTAGAATACTGATTGTAGGCCGGGATATCTCTGCAGCTGCACAACACTTATTGTGCCTCCTGCGATTTGAACATATATCTTGTCCATTATTGCCATTTTTATCAAACTTCGATAAATGGTGCAGCCCTAACATAAATACAATTATAACATTGTTGCTATAGCTATTCTTTCTTACACATCTTTTCTTTTTTTTTAAAGCAGGCCCCATTTTCAATCCAATCCACTTTATTTCTATAGCACATATTAAAAACAGAGGGTTTACCAAAATGCTTTACAGCAAACATAACATTATAATGAAATATAATATTACAATAATAGATAAAAGGCACACATAAGAATGAATACAAGGTACCCAAAGGCTATGGACAGAAAATAAAAGCATACACATGGATAAGACAGAGCTCAAACTGACTCGAAAGCCAGGGAAAAGAGGTGGGTCTTTAGGCGGGAATTAAAAGTTTAGAGGCTGGGCGACAATTTGACATGGGGGGGCAGGTCGTTCCAGAGCCTGGGGGCTATCGCTGAGAAGGCTCGGTCTCCCCTGGTCTTTTTCTTGGTTTTAGGGACTACTAGCTGATCAGCCGACCTCAAAGCCCTCGAGGGGGTGTACACCTTTAGGCTTTAGCTATGATGCTTGACAGCCTCTACAAGTCTTTGTGAGGGTGTTCATGATCTTCCCAATAATGGAAATGTACTAATATCATATTCACTTATTGCAAATATAGTTAAAAAAATGTATCACTAATGAACACCCCAAAAAATGCCAGAATGATGTATGTACATGGACTTGAACTGTTGCGTTTGATAATGTGCTCCCTGGTATGTGAGCCGCACTGTGCCAAGACTCACCTCAGGTTATGTCTACACATGATACATCTACCCAGATTCAGAGATGATTGGCAGGGAACAGCCTGAACAGGTCGCCATTTGATTACAGGGCTAACGCATAGACACATTTATATCCTCATATTCACACCTACAGGCAGTTAAAGAGTCTCTGCACCTACCCTGCATGTCTTCTGACAGAACCTTCTCTCTCGGGAGGCGGAGCTCAATACTGCACCACCTGGCCAACATGATTTCTAATCATGCCAATATTAGATTTTCAATATACATTTTCACAGTTATAATACATACGTTTGAAACGTTGAGTAAATAACGTCATTAGCTTAGCATAATTGGATATTTTGGACTCATTCTAGACTCAATGTACACATAAATAAATCTTCATTCCCAATTCTTTAATTTGTTGTCCCTCTAAAACTGTCATTTTTGGAATAACAGCCTGTGACTTTTGATTTCCATAGAACAGATGATTCTTTTGCGCTGATGAGATTTTCATATTTGTTCTACTTAAGTAATACCTCACTGGTGAATGTCTGAAGCTTTATGCTGTCTTAAAAACAACGGTTGCTAGCAAGTGACTGAATGACTACATGTCATCGCGCTTAACATTAGCCGCCTTAGCTTAGCGCTGGTGCTTTGAAGTCATTGTGACTGTCATTTAGTTTTTCTACAGCATAATGTTTTCTGCATTCTACCAAAATCCAATGAAAACACCTCATTGCTTTTTGTCGAGGAAGCCCTTGCAATGCTAACTTCCGTGTCAGCCTACGGAAACATGTCATCATTGCACCACTCTATTAGCCTGTTGGGACTTAACATTTATTTACAGTCTTAGCAACAGATTTATGAATACCTGATGCAACCCAGCCTGTTCTTGGTTCTATATTGATTGAAGGTTAATAAAAGGCATGTTTCATCTGCTACACAGCTCATACAATGGAACATGTTTGTGAACTGTTTATATAATGAGCCTTTGGTGGGGAAACTATGTCTCTTGTTCTTGTATCGCTGGGTTTCTTTTATTTAGTATCCATCCCCAATATATATGATTTTAGAACATCTGATTTTATGAAATGTACTTTTTCTGTGTTTGGTCATGATGCTCTGCTCCGGCTTGCTACTAGCTAACCCTCTTGTCACTCTGTTTCTCTTCCTCTCTCTCTCTCTGTAATGACATCCTTCTCTCTTCAGGGTGTGTGTGCTTCAGCAGGCTCTGGGAGGTCAAACCAGTCAGTGTAAGCAGCATGGACAGAACCTTCCATTTCATACCATGACATCCTTTGACTTTCAAAGTGTTCTTTTTCCATCTTGTTTGTTGTCAAAGAGAATCAACAATCAACATTTAACTCTATCATTTCCCTATTTGTCTTCATTTGTATGCCTTACTGTTTTTATTTATTATTTTACTTACTCCTTTATTATATTATAACACTCAACTTCCTGTTTCTTTTTTCACTTGCTTTTCATGAAACGTCTTTTCATTCACTTTTCCTTCCTTGTTGCCCATACCGTGAACTGTTTCCATAATGATGTCTTTGTCATTGTTGAATTTTGGTTTATGGCAAAAATATTCCTTATGATGACAACTCTTTGTGTAGCATGTTGTGTCACTATAGTCTGTTGTTAGGCTGGAAGAGTGTGTGGCTGCAAGAAACTGATCAAAAAGCTACATTTTGATCAAAATGACACAAAATGATGATCCTGCTACAGCCCTGACTACAGAGGCTGGGTTTTAAGTTAGGGTAGAGTGTTAGACTAGTTCAAGTTAAAATCAGTGTTTTTGATACACTGGCAATTGTGAAAGAAAGTAATTCTAAAATGTATTAAAGAAAAAAAGAAATCAAATCGAAAAATAGTAGATTTCTTAAGAATGAAGGTTAATGATCACGCTAAGTTGATGTTGTTATTAACAGTAATAATAATCTGTATGATTGGGATAATACTTGTAACACTTGATTGTAGTGAACATGTGAGGTCTGTGAGCTTCTGTGATCACAGATTTAAGGATATTGCAGTGAAATAAAAGCATTTACGTAAGAGTGTGTAACCAGACCTGTTTTAACTGCAGAGGGGACTTGGTTAACTCCAGGCTGCAGTTCAAAGCAAAACCACTGAACTCAGTAGACTTTATGAGTCTTTATGGGAATGCAATGAAAAGCAGAGTGAACTTAAAGGCTCTGCTGGTGTCTTTCCTTCTTTTCAAGCTAAATGTATTCCACCAATAGAATATGTATCAGGGGTTAGGGTCATGCATCGGTTTGCAGCACATAAGCAGCAGAGTCAGTAGTTATGATAGCAGCCCATAAATGAGTTGATGACGATGCTCATATACAGGAAAACAAACTAACAATCACACAACTTGAGATTTGGTCTGACTGCAGAAATGTTCAGGTTACCAAAAGAACCTCCAGATATTCAGCTGGAAGTGGAACCACCTGTCTCTTCACTGTGTAGATATTAAGGGAGCAGTTGGTCTGTTGACACTCATTCACTTCATCAGTGTCGATCTAATCTTGTTTAACTCTGCTGTTTACGCGTGATGTAATATTGACCTGTGTGTGTGTGTGTGTGTGTGTGTGTGTGTGTGTGTGTGTGTGTCACACAGGGTCAGGGTGCCATCACAGAGAAGCTGCGCAGCCTGAGCATGCACGACCTGACCCAGATCAGCCAGCAGGACGACAGAGGAGACCAGCTCTACCAGTACAGCTCCCACTCCTCCAACCCCGCCATCAGGAGGTCCCAGAGCACTGACGCTGCCGATGGACCAGGTACACACACACACACACACACACACACACACACAGATGGATACTGTGGAGTCAATCTCTCTGCTCTGAATGTCGCATAGTGAACCACTAAAGCTCGCAAACCTCCAGAACACCCTGGAATCTGAACTCACAGACGTCATACACACAACCAGCAAAACATGCTTCATCCAGTGATAGGCACGTCCATAAATGCCTTTGAATATCCATCCTTATAGTAGGCACAGAGATGGTGCTGTCAATATCACGGCTACACTGGTGTGACAAATGTGCCACATCAGCTTAATATCCCTATTCTAATGTTTCTTTGTTCTTTGTCCGCATGCTCCTTTCCTTATTTCCTCTTGTTCTTGCTTGATGAGAACTGCAGGCTGGCTGGCTGGCTGGCTGGCTGGCTGGCTGGCTGGCTGGCTGGCTGGCTGGCTGGTGTGTGTGTGTGTGTGTGTGTGTGTGTGTGTGTGTGTGTGTGTGTGTGTGTGTGTGTGTGTGTGTGTGTGTGTGTGTGTGTGTGTGTGTGTGTGTGTGTGTGTGTGTGTGTGTGTGTGTGTGTGTGTGTGTGTGTGTGTGTGTGTGTGTGTGTGTGTGTGTGTGTGTGTGTGTGTGTGTGTGTGTGTGTGTGTGTGTGTGTGTGTGTGTGTGTGTGTGTGTGTGTGGTGTGTGTGTGTGTGTGTGTGTGTGTGTGTGTGTGTGTGTGTGTGTGTGTGTGTGTGTGTGTGTGTGTGTGTGTGTGTGTGTGTGTGTGTGTGTGTGTGTGTGTGTGTGTGTGTGTGTGTGTGTGTGTGTGTGTGTGTGTGTGTGTGTGTGTGTGTGTGTGTGTGTGTGTGTGTGTGTGTGTGTGTGTGATGACTTCCCAGCAGACAGAGGGGATGAGTTGAGTTTGAGTGGGATGCTGTTGGAATTTCAAACACACACTCTGTCTCTGTTCCTTCCGTCTATCTCTCTCTCGAACACACACAGGCAGCCAGTGAGGCGTGGGGGGGGGGCTGAGATGAATGTATAGGAGGAGAGTGGAGATGTAAGGGATGGATGGAGCAGGAGTGAATTGGAAGAGGAGGAGGATGGAGGCTGGCAGACAGCATTAGCATACTGAGAGAGGGAGAGTGTTCAGTATTCAGCTCATGAGGAAGACATGTTTCTCCCCTCTTGCTCTCTTTCATAGGGTCCTCCCTGCTGCTCACATGACACCACACTCCTCTGCTGGCTAAAGGAGGTCTTCAGCTCCTGGGCAACAATGGTTTTTCTTCTGGACCCTTTTCCCCTCACATCTGTCGGTTGGATTGTCTATTATTTAATTTCCTTATCTTTTTTTTAATCTATACACAGGACGTCTATTCCACATTTATTCCTCTTTATTTGTGCTAGTTTCTCCTTTTCACTGTGATGGTCTAATGACTGAGTATGGTGGCTGACAACGGCCCAAAACACTTCCATTAGGAGAAACACGATGCAAATATAAAAACACACATGTTCCACTAACAGTGACAGTTGGCCAACTATAACTCTCAAATGTCAACAAGTGCTGCTTGTTCCCAGCTCTGTGCGTCACCTTCTAGTGTTCCCGTTAGATCTGCACCGCTCTCCACTTTTATATTTTTGATCTTCTTGCAGCGTTTTGTATATGCAGTGCTTTTAGTAAATGCTGCGCAATGTTTCGTCAAGTTGGTGAATGTTTTCTAAATGCTGCATCATTAGCATGTGTTTTGGCACATTTGTGTTTTTGTTTGCATTGTTTTTAAAAGGCTCCGCACATTCTACTAATAGAAGTTTTGGGCCGTTGTAGTCCATTTGCACTCCGTCGTAACCGAGGGTTTCGTATGCCGTAAACACTTTAAAGCCGCCTGGGACAAGTGTCTCATTTGTGCTACAGAGCTATATAAATATAAATTGATTGATTGATTGATTGATATTCTACTAACAAGTAGTGTGTGCAAAACGCCTGATACATCTTCATCCTTTGAGCTGTAGAGCTCCATAGTTGTACAAAAATATCAATGACACACACTAGGGGTGTAACGGTTCACAGAATTCACGGTTTGGGGGTCACGGTTCGGTACAACAAGAAAAAGAAAAGTCCAAAATGCATAATTCAAGGTTTGTTGTTATTTATTTTTTAACAGCAGTGCAAGTTTCAGTATAAAAATAAGGAACTCTAACATTTTGAATAATTAACTGTATTACACAGTTAAAAACAAACCACAAACTGTACCACACACACTCAGATGGCCATATGATCTATAATGGCTTTAAATCTAAAAATAATGTCTTGAAAATATTACAAAATAAATAATAAAAAAGTGTTTCAAGAGCGCACAGCCGTTGAAACACATATGCCAATAGCTTCCGTTATTTCTTTTGGTCTCTCGGCTTTCATGTCTATTGGCTTCTTAAAAACAGCGGGGATCAGCTGCTGAACTGCTGTTGTCTTTTGCCGGGCTCTGGTGATTGGCAAATCTGGGTGATGCCTTCTGATATGATTTAGCATGTTTGGCGTGTGTCACCATTAGCATACCGCACCGCTGTAGAACAACGGCGACACACCGTCCTCGTCCGATCCACCACTCGCACTCCATCGTTATTGTAGTCCACAGGGAACCCGAAATTAGAGATGGGTGAGTCCTGATTGATCCGGATCATTAACCCGGATCCTAGTAATGAGCTGGGAGTGACGAGTCTCCCCTCTTCATTAACCTGAGTCCTTTGAGTCCTACACCTGGTGACGTACAAATTAAAACTTTAAATTGCGTCACTCGCTACTCTCCTTATAACATGTAAAATCACATTACAATGTACCCCAAACCATCTGCCTAGCCTTTAGCCAGTAGGATAGCTTCCAGAAGTTATCGTTTGGCTCAGGGGACGCGGATCAGTGAAACTTCCTGCAGACTCGTGCGGATTCAGAGCCGTAACCGTAGCAAATCCAGAGATCCAGGCAGACTCATCATGCACGAGTCAACAGTAGACTCAGATTTGCAAATCCTAACTCACTGAATCAAGGGAACTTCCTTCACTTCCTGCACACTAGTGCGGACTCAGAGCCGTAACCGTATAGCAGATCCAGAGATCCAGACTCGTCATGCACGAGCATAGCCGTGGGAACTGGGAAGTCATTTTACTTGGGGGGTGCGGACAAAAGTGGGGAGAGATTTCAACAACAGTAACATGACGTTTTTCAAATGTACACCATTCGCAGCCCCGCCTCCAGCACCCCTACTTCTCGCGGCTATTGTGCATGAGTCAACAGCAGACTCAGAGATTCGCAAATCCTGACTCGCTGTGCAAAACACAGCAGACTCGTGCGGACTCAGAGCCGTAACCGTATAGCAGCAGATCCAGAGATCCAGCAGACTCGTCCTCATGCAGGAGTCAACAGCAGACTCAGATTCGCCAAATCGCAAAATAACCCTTTTTTTTTGTGATCAACATTTTTTATTAAAGCAATAGACACTGTGTAGCGGAGGTTAATGTAACGTTAGTTTAATATGCTCGTGAAATGCAACAAGTTTTCGGTTTCACCAGTAGGATTTCTACGCTCTTGGTGATGCTGACTCATATGACTTAAAGGACTCGTATGATCCGGATCTCTTCAATGACTGACTCAGAAGACTCCGAGTCCGTAAAAGGATTTGCCATCTCTACCCGAAATGTTCCCACACAGCAGTTGATTTAAAAGAAGCAGGTGGTTCTTCTAGCTCCTGTGTGTTATCTGAAATCGCCATACTAACTTTTCTTCTTCTTGTATTTTGTTCGTTTTGTTGTTGTGTTTCTTCTTGTTCTTCATTTGTTGTTTCAGAGCGGCTGGCAAACAGCTTTTAGGCGCAATACCGCCCCCTGGATTATATATAGTGTAGTGGATACTGCCCTGAGTGACAGACTTTTTTCCCACTCATAAAAAAAAAGGCATATTCGTCGTGTGACTTCATGTGCCGAACCATGACGTCCGAACCATGACGTCCGAACCATGACGTCCGAACCGTGACGGTTCGAGACGAGTACGGATACCGTTACACCCCTAACACACACATTAGTTTTTGTTACACTGTCCTGCTCCCTGAACTACTTAAATTCAAATAATACCATATTCTCTCTTTGAGGCAGCACAATATGAGATGAGACACATGTGGAGCAGCTGAGCACAGTGTAGAGCAACAACTGTGGAGTCTAAATATGCAAGCTTCAGAGTTCAAAACAAAAAAACGCAAAGTGAAGGAGGAGTGTGTTTTGACAGTGAAAGTAAACTCAACAGCAGGTTAAGACATTATTCATATTCAGGACAGAGTGTGCGTTTGCTCTGGAGAGCAGGAGGATTCCAGAACCCCGTGGAACAAGCTGCTCCAGATCTCAGCCCTTTATGACAGGACATTGGAGAGTTTCTACACAGAATAGACTGTTGATAGCTGGAGTGACTGGAATCTGTTCTTCACAGTCCAGACAGAGCAGTAAGATTCCACCCTGGAACATTACTGTAACATGTTGTTCCTGAGCAAGTGGCTTTCTCCTTTGAGGGTGTAGCGTTAGGAGCAGATGATCATGGGCGTTTAACACTCAGGTCATTTCTTGTTGGTGTTACATGTGTGGTTCTTCAGTACAGTGTGTAGTACTGGGCTTCTCAAATTCCGGATCTAGGTCCGGATCCGGACCGAACTGCAAATCACTCCGGACCGAACCCTGTGTCCCATTATTAAAAAAAAAAAAAACATTCTGATTCTGATGTAAAATTAAGTGGACCAATTATGCTATATTGGAAACATATATTGTAGGGCCATACCTATATAAAACATGTCTGTAAAGTTTCACCCATTGTAGCCATGCCTCATACTGCTCATACCCCTCTTTTGCAGCCCTGTTAGAGAAACGTGGATTTTGGGTCCTTAGCTTGAAAAAAAACCTGAAGGTATTTTTTGATGTTGTGCAGGAATGTGAAGTCTCATGTGAAGCCTCTTCCCACCCTGTTTCCTCTGGGAGGGGAAAGGTTGCTTCCAACTCTGGAGAGTGTGAGGTTTTCTCTTATAGACTCCAGATGTGACAACAATAGCCGCAGCAGGAGCTAGAACCAGAACACATAGAAAATACATCACTGGTCATTTGTTCTGTGACAAAAGGGCATGAAAACTGTAACATAATGTCCGGTTTACTATACAATAAACAACATATGCAGGCCATGCTAATTAATGATCTGAGTCTTATCAACAGTCGAGTATCTTAGGATGGACCAGAAAAAAGACCTGGAAGACCTTTTAGATCAATCTGTATTCTCTCAAAAGCCTTTAAAAATACACATGACTTCTGCTGCAGTGTGTATTCCTGGCAGCAGGCTGTATCAGATAGCTGGTGTATAACCTGTCTAACTGTTGTGTTTCTATGAAGAGAGACAAAGGGAGCAAGCAGAGCGTGTGTGTGTGTGTGTGTGTGTGTGTGTGTGTGTGTGTGTGTGTGTGTGTGTGTGTGTGTGTGGTGTGTGTGTGTGTGGTGTGTGTGTGTGTGTGTGTGGTGTGTGTGTGTGTGTGTGTGTGTGTGTGTGTGTGTGTGTGTGTGTGTGTGTGTGTGTGTGTGTGTGTGTGTGTGTGTGTGTGTGTGGACCTCTACTGGAGAAGCTGTGTCTCACACAGAACTCGATCCACACAGGCCTGTAACCAGAATAAGAGTTCATCCATGGAAATGTGTCAGGTGGAAATACTGCAAATATAAGTGATTCTGTATGAAATATAGAACATGTCGGATCATTGGAGAAATTGTACGAAACACCTTTACTCAAAACATGCATCTACATCTATTTTCAGGTTTTTCAGTATATTGATGTGCTTTATATTTAATGGAATATAAATCACATTTATTATTAAACAAATAAATAAATTAAATGTGAAGATATGTGCCTGCCATATCTTTATGTGTGTGTGGACGTCATGTTGACATCTTTCAAAATGTATTCCGGCTCATTTTGACTTATCACAGCACAGGGGAAGGATGTCTAAATGATTCTCACGTGGCACATTGGTGGGGCGGGCCCTTCTATAGTACATAAGTTTACATTCTGGTGCCGGTTTATCTCCAGGGATTAACACGGGTTTATGTTCTCCTTTTTTTTAAAGAAATAAAGCTCCTTTAGCATTTAAAACTCAGTCCATCTTCGCTGTTTATGTGACTTCTCTTCTCCTCTTCCACCAATGGTTGAGCATCCTTGCTGATCTTAACATAAGTTGTGAAAAGGCTAAGTTATGCAACCAAACTGAAACATGACATATTTTGTAAAGACACATATCTGAGTGTGTGTTTCAGTGATTCCTGACGTGTGTGTGTGTGTGTGTGTGTGTGTGTGTGTGTGTGTGTGTGTGTGTGTGTGTGTGTGTGTGTGTGTGTGTGTGTGTGTGTGTGTGTGTGTGTGTGTGTGTGTGTGTGTGTGTGTGTGTGTGTGTGTGTGTGTGTGTGTGTGTGTGTTTCTCAGACTACTACTATGCCGAGGAGGAGAGGAGTGATGACGAGGCGGAGCCCACCTTCTCTGAGGACGAGGCGGTCACTCAGAAAGGACTGAGGCGGTCTCAGAGCGTTAAGATGACCCGCTCCAGGGTCCGCAGAGACGTGAGTTCTGTCCCATGAAGGCTGTGTGTTCTGTAGCCAAACATATCTATCAATATATGAATAAATATTCTGTATGATAACAAACAGCCTAGAAACTCAAGGGTATAATTATATACATTTTCACACCTATTATTTTCATTATTCTGTCATCAGGCTCGCTATGGATCCCTGAAGATTAAAGGCAAGAAGAGACCAGCACTGAGCTCCGTTAACTATGGATTATGAGAAGAATACTACGTACACACACACACACACACACACACACAGGGTCTGTTCTGACAGTCACTCTGCTGAACTTGTTTGTATCTTTATTGAGGAGCGTTCTTCTGACATATTTCCATATATCCAGAACCAGTGTCTCTGAGAGAGCCTCCTTGTTTGGGTGGATGGCGTACATTTATGCATCTTATTTGAGTTTTTAGTTGTGATTTTATATACATTTGAGCTTTTAGGATTTTTACATTTCATTGTATCAAAGTGTTGTGCTGCCACTTCTTAAGGCATCCTTAAACTGTCATTAATGGCCAAGCTAATATTTAAATAATGAACTGATCATTTGTATAAAAATAACTTTGGATATCTTTTGTTCAAATATAAACATGTACACTGCTGATTATTACACAGTCAGAAGCATGAACTTTGATTAAAACTGTATTCAGTTACAGTGTGGCCACCTGGGGTTAGCGTAACAAGCCATTCATGCACAATTGGAAAAAGGGGCAAAACACCAAATACAAGAAAGACCAAAACAATTACAAAGGGAAACAAAATGACCACAAACAGCAAGACAAGTAGAAGGAGGGGAAATGCCCACAAACCAAAAACAACAGTCTTAAACAAATAATAAAATGTCCACAAAGAGACACTACACCACAGAGATGCTGAATGGCACAGGTGTGTGTGTGTGTGTGTGTGTGTGTGTGTGTGTGTGTGTGTGTGTGTGTGTGTGTGTGTGTGTGTGTGTGTGTGTGTGTGTGTGTGTGTGTGTGTGTGTGTGGCAATCCAAATAACACTTACACTAATGGCTTATAAGTGACCTAATGAAATGTGATGTTACCCATGAAGACAGACAGCGGTGTTTATCTTTAACGCTTTTTAGAGAGTGCTACTGTTGCAGCAGCGAGCTTCTGCTGCCTTCAGGGTATTCTCCATGAGGAACCTGTTCCCAGCTGAAGCTCTGACCCTGGTGTTGGAGTCCGTTAACCCTCACTACTCCACTGCTCACACACATTCCCCATCACTGCAGAGCACCAGCAGCTGAGCATGGACATTTACACGGGGGGGGGGGGGGGTCGTTGAATGAATCAGATGTGCAGTATAAGTGGATGGAGTGAGTGAAACACCAGCAGCTGGACACTACCCCTTATTCCTCAACACCAGTCAGGAGAGAGAAAGGGAAGAGAAAACCAAACTGAGATTCTTTAAGGTTTTATAAGCAGGTTTATTTCCTGCATTGTCCACATGTTTTTTTATGACTGTGTGTCCTGATCACTATCCTGGTTGTACATATCTAGCTGTTTCCTTGTGTTTGAAGAGTGTGTGTGTTGTGTTTGGATCAAAAGGAGTCTTTTATTATAGTAACCAGTGTTTTTGCACATGTACCTCCTCTTAAACCTTTTGATCAATGCTGTTGTTGCTTGTCTTCTCATTTTTGTATGTACTTTGCTGTAGGCAACCCAATGAGTTTAATGCTAGCAGCCTCTCGTGACATGTCAGAGTGTGGCTTGTTTTGGTCCTCTGGTACTGCAGTCAGTGATAAAACGCTCGAGGGCTGTGGCTAAAGCGTATTCCTAAGAACTATACGATTGATATGCGTTAAAGAAATAATGAAAGTGTGAACATGCTGCCTAGCAACATGGCTGTGTTACACATGTTTGGATAAAGGTCAGGGTTATTGCACTCAGCTGTGAGCGTTCACGCCATGCAGGCATGGTGCGAAGGCCTTCCTCAGCAACACACAGCATTGTCTTAAAGCCGTGTGTGTGTGTGTTCAACACTCATCAATAGTGCTTACATCACTAACAAGCCAAACTGTCTCATGTCAGGACGTCCATGTAACGCTCATAACTGAATACTGATACCAAAGCTTCTCTGAGCTGTGTGACGGAGTTTTTAATCTGTGTGGGGAAATGTAGTGTGTGGATTGGAAATTAAATATAATAAAGGAAGTTGAAATACACACAGGGCAGCATGTGTAGTGTTTGTTTATGATGTGTATTCCTGTAGTGTAGACGTTATAACTGTCTCAGTGAAGAGGACAGAAGCGCACAATGGCCTCTTCTTTACACACTGCTAAACTGAACTCATATTTGTGTTTCACTGAGGAAATGTACAAATGATTCATAATGTTTATTAATGTTTTCATCATTCAAGATGAATGACTTGCATCTATGACAGTTTTCATATGAATACAAAATACCTTATGAAATGTAAACTATTTTAATAAACCGAGTCCTACTTGGTGATCTTCGTTCTTGTTATCGTTCAATCGTTGGTCCGCTCTCACTGCCTGCCAAAATCCACCCGCCTTTTAAAAAGCTTGATTTTGTTCCCTAACGTATTCTGTGAAGACCCGCCCCTACTCTGATTGGTAGATTTCAGCACGATGAGTGAGATGGGGTGGGTCTTAACGGAATACGCATGAGAGAGAGAAGTCATAACAAGTGGTACAGGACAGGTAGACGTGTTTTTCAGATGGAAAATGAGCCAAACGCAGCAGCATTTGGATGCACTTCAACCAAAACCCAGGCAGTGATAAAGCGCACAATTTGTAAAGGCAAAATATCCTTTAAAGCAGGGTCAACTAATAATCTCCATCGCCACTTAAAAACACAGTATCTAATATTAAGAGTTGCGTGAATTTCATTCAAGGCAAGCCAACTTTATCTAGGCTACCTAACACATCAACACACTCTCACTCCATAATCGTCCAGGAGCGACGTTTGGTCAGTGTCCGTGGCGTTCAGTTGTGACGCTCCTAGGCTCCTTCAGCTTCATAAAGGGACGCAAATAGGTTTAAACTGATTGCAATGTATTACCATCTGCGGCGGGATTTGACGCTCATGGAAGCACGGCATTCGTTTGTGTCGGCTGCCCTTAAAGGCAATGTGAGCGTCCATTCCCATTGGATAACTGTTGTAAGGTCATATCCAGTGGTGTAGTGGGCGTTGGACGCGGGGGTACGCCGTACCCCCACTTATTTGGAGCATGATCTTTTTTTCAATAGTCTAATAAATATAAAATCATTGCCAGTCTTATCAGTTGCAAGTGTGTATTTGTTGTAATAATGACAAAAACATAATACATTTCACAGTAATGGCATATAATAAAAAATAAAAACGATTTCCTTCAAAAATGATGATTCGTCACATCACGCACGTGACCCCGCAGCGAGCTGGGGGTGTGTCAGTGACACACCCACGGCCAGCTCACCGCCCGCCGATTTTGCGGCAGCTCTTTCCCTCAAGAACTCTAACGAAAAAGCTCTATAATGGAAGGAAAACGTTTTTTACTTGACTTCTTTTCTAAAAAGAATATAATTCACAAGAAGAAAGAGGCTAGCAGCACCGAAGCTACAAGTGAAGCTGCTACTAGTACTACATCATCAGAAGAGCCGCCTAAAGACGTGAATAATGCTAGCTAACGTGCACGTTAAATGCGCTAGCAACGTTCCGCTGGCTAGCTCAAGCTCACCTTTCCCAGAGGTATGGACGGAGGAGATGTGGCGGAGGAAACAAGAGGCTACCCGTGGATACACTGCAAAGCTGGGAAACTGGGCTGCTGTTCATCCATTTCGGATTTATCAGCCTTCAAAACGCAAGGTGTGTGTGTGTGTGTGTGTGTGTGTGTGTGTGTGTGTGTGTGTGTGTGTGTGTGTGTGTGTGTGTGTGTGTGTGTGTGTGTGTGTGTGTGTGTGTGTGTGTGTGTGTGTGTGTGGTGTGTGTGTGTGTGTGTGTGTGTGTGTGTGTGTGTGTGTGTGTGTGTGTGTGTGTGTGTGTGTGTGTGTGTGTGTGTGTGTGTGTGTGTGTGTGTGTGTGTGTGTGTGTGTGTGTGTGTGTGTGTGTGTGTGTGTGTGTGTGTGTGTGTGTGTGTGTGTGTGTGTGTGTGTGTGTGTGTGTGTGTGTGTGTGTGTGTGTGTGTGTGTGTGTGTGTGTGTGCCAGAAGCAGCGCTGTCTGCTTATTTGCAATGTAGGCTAGGCCTAATCAGAATAATTTCAAGTCCAGATTCAATGTTTGCATTAGTAGGCTATATTTTTCGTTTCGTTTATTTAATAAGTTAATTTCAGGACAACTTTGGGAATTTTGTTTGTTTGTTATGAGTTTTAAATAGATTTTGAAAGTGGAGATAGAGAGAAGCAGCGCTGTCTGCTTAGTCGTAGCTTATGCAACTTAGGCCTATACATTGTTGTAACTTATGTGCCAGTGTGCCCATGGTTTTGAGTCTATGTGCGTGTTGAGCGCAGCGCCGTCTGCTTTTTGAAGTACAGTAACTAAAGTCGGACTAAGCATACCGGTAGTTTCTGTGGACCTGCATGTCTGCCCGTTTTGTGACTGCACTGCGCGCGTGCGCACTTGTGTGGCATTGTTTGGGATGACCTAATTAAAATAGCGTCCCCCCAGTAAAAAAATCCCCACTACACCACTGGTCATATCATTGCATGTTAGTTCACCAGTCCACTAGGTGGCACTGTGACATTGAAGTTGTTGCCGTTCCATAAGCATAGAAGAGGAACTGGGGGCTATGTTGTTATGCTAAGTATGTGATGAACCGGAGTCGCAGTTCGGCGCTGCCAGAAACCAATAAACTCCACTATGCTCACCAGAAGCCTGCTGTGAGTTACTACATAATGGCGACGAGGATAAAAGTACAGCAGATGCCTGGTGGAAATGCACACAAATGTGCGAGACTGTTGAGTGGCTACGTTAACAGCACCAAACACCGAACAGTGGTGTGAGCTAGAAGATGGCGGCGGCACCGTTCCCTTTGATAGTCAATCCCAGACGTGGGAGGAATATTGTGAGGTTCTCCAATATTTCTTTGAAGCTAATGAGATCAAAGATGCAGGTCGGCAGAAAGCTATTTTGCTCAGTTCAGTTGGCAGTCAGACTTACAGCCTTATGAGGAACCTTATCAGCCCGGCGAGGCCAGGAGATAAGACGTTTGATGAGCTTGTTCAGCTGCTGAAAGACCATTTCAACACCAAACCCAGTGAAATTGTACAGCGCTACAAATTTAACTCAAGAAGTAGGAAGCTGGGAGAAACAGTCATGGAGTATGTTGCTGTGCTAAGGAAATTAGCACAAGATTGTAACTATGGAGACAAGTTAACAGAAATGCTGCGTGACAGGCTGGTCTGTGGGATTGGGGAGGATCGCATACAACGGCGATTGTTGTCAGAGCCGGATTTCACCTTCGACAGGGCACTGAAGCTGGCCCAGGCTATTGAGACAGCCAGCAAGGATGTGAGAGACTTACAGTCATTGGAGTCAGCACCCTCGCACATGAGCACCTGAGGCAGTGCACAAGATGACGGCAAGGCAGAGCCCCAGTGAGCAGCAGCACCAGCATAAGGCTTGCTACAGGTGTGGCAGTGAGCAGCACATAGCTAGGGACTGTAGGTTTATTAAAGAAACCTGTCACAAGTGTGGGAAGATAGGCCATATTCAGAAAGTGTGTAGGTCAAAAGGCTCAGTTAGTGCTTCACAAGCAAAAGGGGGTGGAGTATATCAGAGATATAAGCATGTGAAAACTCAGGGAGCAAACTATGTCAGCCAGGGGGAGGGCGAAAAAGATGACATAGACACAGATGAGATCATGTTCACTTTGTACAAAGTGGAGGAAATAGACATACCGGCAGAGGAGCCATTTCTAGAAACACTGACTATTAACGAAACTGAAACACAGTTTGAAGTAGACTCAGGATGTGGAGTAACAGTGGTGAACCACTCAGTGTACAAAACCTTATGGAGGGGAGAGGTACCAGCCCTACAACCCTGCAGAGTGAGACTCAGAACATACACAGGACATAGGGTAAATGTTTTGGGAGCAGCTATGGTAAAAGTGCAGCACAAACAGTCAGTAAAAAACCTACCGGTGGTAGTTGTGCCAGGGACGGGCCCTAGTCTAGTTGGCAGGAACTGGATTAAGAAGCTAGGTTTGCAGTGGAGACCGGAAAGCCAGATTCACCATGTCAGGGAAGAGACATTGGAGGAGGTACTTGGGGAATATGAGGAGGTTTTCAAAGAGGAACTAGGGAAATGTAAAGGGCCCCCAGCTAAACTATATGTGGACAAGGAAGCAACCCCCAGGTTTTTTAAAGCTAGACCGGTACCGTATGCAATGAGAGGAAGGGTTGAGACCGAACTGGACCGTCTCCTAGCCCAGGAGATAATTGAACTGGTAAAATATGCAGAGTGGGCAGCGCCTGTGGTACCGGTGTTAAAACCAGATGACTCAGTAAGGTTGTGCGGTGATTACAAACTGACTGTAAATCGAGTATCAAAACTGGAACAGTATCCAATTCCCAGAATTGAGGATTTGTTTGCCAACCTGTCAGATGGACAGAAGTTCACAAAGCTAGATCTCAGTCATGCATATCACCAAATCCCTTTGGATGAAGAAGCAAAAACATATATGACCATAAATACACACAAGGGCTTGTTCACGTACAAAGTGTTACCTTTCGGAGTATCATCCAGCCCAGCTATTTGTCAACGGACCATAGAGGGACTGCTACAGGGCATCCCTGGAGTGGCAATATTCTTGGATGACATCCTGCTGACAGGGAAAGACGACAAAGAGCATCTGCAGACTCTTGTCCTTGTGCTGAAACGGCTACAGGAGGCCGGTCTCAGGCTCAAAAGAACCAAGTGTTCGTTCATGAGTGAGGAAGTGATGTTTCTAGGTCATAAGGTGGATGCCACAGGACTGCACCCCGTGCATGAGAAGGTGGAAGCAATCAAGGATGCACCCACACCTTCAAATGTGACAGAGCTCAAAGCATATCTAGGACTGTTAAACTATTATAACAAGTTCCTGCCCAGTCTGTCAACCATCCTTGCTCCAGTGCACAAACTGCTAAAAAAAGACACAAAGGGGCAGTGGGAAGATGCACAACAGACAGCGTTTGAAAAGTCAAAAGACATGATGCAGTCAGCTGAAGTGTTGGTGCATTATGACCCAGAGAA